TCATATCCAGAATATACAAGGTACACTTATAACTCCCAATAAAAAGAAGCAATGCAATCAAAAAATGGGCCAAGAATTTGATGACACTTCATAAAAGAACATAAATGATGGCCAATAAGTGCATAAATAATAAACATCCCACATCATTAGTCAAAAGGGAAATGTAAATAAAAACCACAATTAGATAAATTATTATAAAATGTAAATAGCTAAAATTAAGAAGACTGACAAGTGTTGCCAGGACTGAGGACCAACTGGACCTCTCCTACTTTGCTGATGAGAATGTAAAATGGTGCATTTAGGAAAAAAAAATTGCAGTTTCTTATGAAGTTAAATAGTTAACCATATGACTCAGAAATCCCTCTGCTAGGTATTTTATAAGAGGAATAAATACTATGTCCATACAAAAACCAGTACATGGATATTCAAAGTAGCCTTATTCATAATTCAAAATGAAATTAAAAATGTGTCCAAAGAAGTTAGTGGATAAACAAAATGTAGCACCCATACAATGGAACGCTGCTTAGCAATCAAAATGAATGACTACTGATATGCATAATGACATAAATGGATCGCAAATATATATATATATATATATATATATATATATATATATAGGGAGTAAAAGAAGCTCGGACACAGGAGTGCATACTATATGATTCCATTTATATGGAATTCTGAACAGAGGAAAATAACCTATACTGGAAAGCAGAATGGTTACCTGGGGCTGAGGGTAAAGGGGAGTGAATGTCACAGGCCATGATGAAGCTCTGTGGGGTGGCTGAAATGGTCTCAAGATTGTGGTGGTGGTTACACAGGTGCATACCTATGTCAAAGGCTCACTGTTACATGCTTTTAAAATAGACACACTTCATTGTACTTAAATTAATCCTCAAAGGGTTGATTAAAGAATATGAATCAACAAATTCCATGGACATTTGGCAAGTGGGGAAAACAGGAAGACCGTGTACATAATAGCATACATATACTCACACGTATTCCAGAAGGATTGTAAAATGTTAGCACAATGGTGAGTGTGAGAAATTAGGTAACTACTTTGGATCTTGAGTTGCTGATGATACTATTTGAATGTTTGAAATACTACTATATCAATGTTCTCAAATATTTTCTGAATCTTAACAAATTAAGACTGACCCCAAAAGTCCACTGCCTTCAGTCTCTTCTCTGTACTATTAAGTATCCCCTAGATTCAAAAGCTAAATGAAAAGCAGTGATTTGTTCTAACTCTGGATCTGAAAAACTTCGTGTTGGAATTTATTGAAAAATGTTTTTTTGATCTCCACACTCTCAGCAGCATGCAGGGTTTTCCAAGAAGATGTTAACAGTAGATGATTTTAGAATTTAACCAACCCCCAGACTAGGTGGGTCCCCTCAGTTTTCCTGGGATGCACACCATCAGTGCCTTTCACACACTGTGGGGCCATTTGTCTTTAATGAACTGAGACTGGCACAGATTAGGCTGATGGCAAAGAAAGGAGTATAAGGCTGCCCTGCCCTTGGGTCATTATGTACCCAAGAGTGATAACTAGCCTCTAGGTCTTGGCTCCAGCGCTTTCACACTGATTCGCCTTATCTGAATATTAGAGAAAACACACATCCCGCCTCACTGGTGTGTGGAGATAATGCAAGGACAAGAGTTCTGTGAACTGCACAGCAGCTAGGAGCTTTTATAAAGGAGCCAAAAGAAAAGATTCCACTGTGTCTTTAAGAGGATTTCCAGTGGGAAAAGGAATATTTCTCTCTTATAAAGACTTGCTTATAACAATATTTTTCAAGGAACTCAGCTCAGATGGTCCAGGAAACACATTATGGTCGACTGCAGCATGCAAATTCACTGCTCAGCACATTATGGGAACATAAATATAATCATGATCCCCCGCACTTTGCAGGTTCTCAGGCTGTCTCCTTCCTTTCTGCATTTTTTCCTGTCTTTCCTCTCCTTTTCTTTCCCCTTCTACTTTCTCCTCTTCTTTCCTATTGGAAGGAAATTAAAGCAGCTTATCTCAGATATAGGGAAGATTTATGTCTTTCACTTTAAAAAAAACAACAACTTTTTCCTTAATGGATCCAATGTCAAAATTCCTTCAAACTTCTCGATGTAACAAAAGAGAACTATCTTAAGGTATGAAGGTACGTTTTCCACTAATGACTAAAAAAAAAAAAAAAACCCAAAAAACAAACAAAAAAAAAAGTGGAAATAAATGGGAGGCAGTAAGAAAGTCGAACAGTCCTCACTTGGCAATTATTCAGCGCTTGGAAATTTCCAAGCCCTCTGCAATCATTAATTAATTAGGGAAGATGACGTTCTACTTTATGAAGGCTGGGAGCGTGACATAAAGAGGTCTAGAGTCTTTCCCCAAGCTGAAAGAGGAATGTCAAGGGAGGAATTGGGACTAGAATTAGGAGCTCATTTCTCAAGCCAGTAGTCACATCACTAAGCCACTCAGAGTCAATTCTGGGACAATGAGCTCCTCTGTACACAGGTGCAGTTGAATACAGCAGTGTTCTGCTCAAAGACCAGCTATGGAAGAGCCCCCACACCCACCCGCTGTGCCCCCACAACACACACAGGAAATATCTGTAGTTTTGTCGGCCTCTTTCCCCTTTCCCAAAACAGACAGATGGCTAAACACCAACCCCTAACCACTCTCCTTTATAATCCCAGCAAAAATAGACGATTTAAGTTTCATTTTTAAAATGCACAAGATGATGTCAAAATGCATGACACTCTCGAAAATAAATTTTCAAATGACAGGAAATCTACCGATAGCCAGAATGTGTAATAATGTAGTAGATCATCTTGAAGTAGATCATCTTACTCCAGTAAGAAGGAAAATGATGTTTTGTGCTTTCTGGTGCCTGACTGATCAAAGCTGATTCCAGCACCCTGACTAGGCTGCTGATGGCCAACCAAATGCTAGTCATGTGGCTGGACCTGACAGCCTAGATCCAGGTCTTGCAGTGGGTGCTGATTTTTTCTTCCCCCCTACAGTGCTGGATTGGTTCAAAATGTTGAAGAATGACTATCTTCAGTGCTCTGTGACATGATGGGTAGATAGGACTGGCTCCGTACCTGTCACCAGATGATTCTCTCTACCTAGACATACTTTTACTTTGTCTTGCGTCTGTTTTCCCAGGTGGGGTGATGGGATCCTGAAACAACTCAAGGCTCATCTCTCTCCCTTGGGAACATCAGTCAAGCTGCTCTAGACAAGGCAACACTGCATGCCTAGATGAGCTTAAATGGTGATGGCAATTTTCCCAACCTAGGCTTTTCATCTTCCATAGGAGAATTTGTTTCACTTATATCCAAGTGAGGTAAAGTTGAATAACCCCATTTTTTTCTGACCTGGTTGTTTTCTGGTCCAAGAGGGACTACTGCACACGTGCTGTAATGATAACAAAGGCCAAGCCTATCCAGCTTGGCTATTTTCAATAAACTTTATTTAAAAACAAGGCAAAACAAAAAACCCCGAATAAAACTTTGCATGGAGAGATTTTGAAAAGAAAGGCCTTCCAAGAGTAATGTTCCAAAAACACGTAGCATTCGGACTTGGAGAATAACTTTGGCTAGTCAGCTTTCATGTAATGAGCCTTCATAAGGTGAACAGGTGGGTGCCTCTAGCTACTCACAGGCCCTACCAGGAAGGATTCTTTTCCTCTCAAGAACCTAAAATTCCTTTGGAACATACTTAATAGAGCAGACACTTTCATGTGAAAATCGTGATTTAGTATATACCTTATCTAGAGAGCAAGGACCTGACAAATTTTTGGTATAATTTTGAAAATGTGAATAAGTATGCCTGGGAATTGACAATCTCAAATGGGTAAAAGAATTGCACACACACACACACACACACACACACACACACTTCCATAATCCATCTCAATAATTACCATTTAACTTCCAGCTAATCAAGGGCTCTCCAGTTTCTGAATTTTCATAGCTCTAAAAGGGTGGGCTCAGTTCCAACCCAATAACTGGAAACTAGCTTGGTTTCTCCCTCACATTCCTTCCAAGTAGATCACCTTGGTTCCTCTTGATAGGGTGGGAAGAAACATTATGTTGGTTCTAGCGCTCATGGAAAATCCAAGTTGTAGCTGATTAGCTATGTGCAGTATTTTAACTATTCGCAGGAAGTAACTGAACATGTTGACTTAAAATGTATGCTTGCAATAAAATCCAACTACTGTCATAAACAATTTTAAAAAATTTCTTAATATCTTAAAGGCTGGAGAGGAAGATAATTCCTGAAGGATCAGTAATAGGGATGAACAAGAGGTAATAAACAAGTGCCAAGCTACTACAGCTCCTTCCCAAAGGAAACTAGACAAGGTGTCTGCATTATCTTGAATCCCCTGCATCTTACCTACCTCCTGCACTCTTGGATACTTGTTCTATCCCAGCAGCCCTAGGTTTGTCCTGCCGTAGGCAGAACCCAAAGCACCAACTTCGCTTGGGTTCTAACTGGCTTTACATGAGCCTGACCTGATAGCACTTCACCTAATGTTGCCTTATATACCTCTTACTTGCAATTCTGGGAACCTCTCACCCTTATTAAGATATGAGGTCCTTCAGATCTATTCAGATCCCAAGTAAATGTAACATCTTAAGTGTGAGGAAGTTTCTTACCCACAGAGGGAAGTTTTGACGAACAGGAGACAAAAGCTAGAAGCTAAATTATTTTCCCTTCCTCTTCCTGAACAGACTGTCCTGATTTGTTCATATATAGGCTTTTGGAAGATGATCCTCAAAACTGAACAACTGGTTATATTTGATACTAAACAGTAGCCTTACTGGTAACATAGTCCACATAGCATCTCCCCACTTTCCTGTTTCACTCATACTTCCCTGGGACTGAACATCCTAATGGCATAAAAGTAGCGTGTACACTTTTGCCCTAGGCTCTGCTTTCTGGGGAAAGCAGGCCAAGATACACACTCCTTCAGCCTCATTGCTACATTAATGAGCTCCCTACCTTTTGCTGCAGTGGTGATGCACAGGGTGCTGAAACTGGATCTGTGATATAGGTCTTCTTGGGACCAGCAACTGGATACATCCCAGTCGGGTTCTGGTTTCCTGTTCCAAAAGGAGGATACCCTTGTTCTCGCTTCCAGGTATTTGGGTGACCTTGTTGACCATAAGGCGGATCAGAGTCATTTTTGCCCCCATAGCCAGGCCCTGCTGGGCAAGAGGCTTCATAGTAACGACCTTGGTTGGGGGCATACCCATACCCAGGCTCAGGCTGAAGTCCTGGCGGTGGCATATAGGCATAATCCATGCCCCCCCGTGTGGAAGGAGGTGGGCACTGCCCAGAGATAGAAACTGGCTGAGTGTTATAGCCCTGGGGTCCTGGGCCTGTGCCATAAAATTGTCCTGATGAAGGAGCAGCCATGTAAAGAGAGCTGGGCTGAGCTGACTTCACTTGTACATTAAAGGTAGGCCTTGAAGGGGTGGATGCCGTTGTATAGGAGGCAGGGACTGGTGGAGGTTGGGGCTTTAGTGTTCCAATCGGTGCCACGGGGATGGGTCCAGCCTGGGGTGCAGGCTGGGGTTTCAAGGTAGACTTTTTTGTTGCTGTTAGAGGGGGTTGGTTTGGTATAACCATTCTTTTGTGTCCTGTGACAGGGGTGGAGACTGGAGGAGAAGCTGTCGAACTAGTAGAGCCCTGAAGTGGGAAAAAGGAAAAAAAAAAAAAGGAGATTATTGTTAATGAAACATAAAAACACATATTAGTGATGGCTATTATTATCTCATATTAACTTTGCAAAATACAAATAAGGCATGGTTCCTGCCTTCTGAGAATTCACAAACTAACACAAAAATCATAGGCATTTTTGTGTACTAAAATGAACAATCGAAAAAAAAAACTTAAGGAAATGACTATATATCATTACACCAGAATGAAAAAAAAAAATACTTCAGAGGAAAGCCAACCAAAAAGAGCAAAAGACTTATATACACTAAAAAGTAAAAATGCTGCTGAAATCAATTAAAGACATCAATAAATACAAAGACATCCTGTGCTCATGGATTGGAAGACTTAATATTGTGGAGACATTAATACTATCCAGAGTAATGTACAGATTTAACACAATCCCTATCAAAATTCCAAAGGCATTTTTTTTTATAAAAAGAGAAGTCTATCAGCCTAAAACTCACATGGAATCTCAAGAGACTCTGAATAGCCAAAACAACCTTGAATAAGAACAAAACTGTAGATCTCACACTGTGTAATTTCAAAATTTATTACAAAACCACCATAATCCAAACAGTATGATAGTGGCATAAAGACAAACACATAGACCAACAGACTAGGACAGAGAGTCCAGAAGCAAACTCTTGCATGCATGCACAATTAATTTCTGATGGGTTTCAAGATTCATTTGTTTGGGAAAGCATAATCTTTTCAACAAATGGTGCAGAGAACTGGATATGCACATGCAAAAGAGTGAAGTTGGACTCTTACTTTATACCATAAGCAAAAAGTAACCCAAAATTTTAGCCCCAAATATAAGAACTAAAACTACACACCAGGTTCCCTTCATGGAGCTTGCTTCTCCCTCTGCCTGTCTCTGCCTCTCCCTCTGTCTCTCATGAATAAATAAATAAAATCTTTTAAAAAAGAAAAAGAAAGCAGAGGGGAAACAACAAAACAAAACTTCATGACATTGGCTTTGGCGGCTTTTTTGATATAACACTGAAAGCACTAGCAATAACAACAAAAATAAACTGAACAATGTGATCTCAATCAAATTACCAAAGACTTAGTCATCATTCAACTAAAAGGAGGTACCAGAGAAAGAGAAGGACCAGGCCAAGGAAAACAGAAAAAGAAAAGCAAAGAGAAACAACTACCCTGAGGACAACCAAGAAGATGCTAAATTTTAGACCAAAGATTCCTGTCAAAGAGTGATTTTCCAAAGATAATTCAAATGCCGAATGCTCCTCCTTTTCTAACTTTTCCATTTCTGTTGCATTCATTCATTCAATCCAGAACACTTACTGAATACCCTAAGAATGTTTAAGGACACAAAGATGAAAAGATCTCACTGCCAAACTATGAGAGGCCTTGGTTAGGCTGGGGATAAATAAAGGCTCGGAGAAGGCTTGGAGATTTAAACTTCTGTCCTCCAGTATCAGGCTACTGGGGAATCTGCAAATATGCCAATGACAGAATGTTTTTATTTTACTCTGAGTTATTATTAGATTTGGTGCTATAACAAATGAATGACCACACCCTGATTTTGTTATTAATTTCCATGCAAATTAATGTATGCATCGATGGAGAGAATGCAGGGCCTTATATTATTCTAGTGTCATTCATCCACGCCAAGCCACTAGAGATAAGGGGAAAGATGCCGCTAACTGCCTCTTCATGCCCACGTGTCTTCTTCATTACTCAAAGAATTGCAATTCTATCTAGGGTGACAGTGTGCCCAAACTTAAAATATGTCTCTTAACTACGTTGTAGATAGCAGTTGCCATGGGACACAGTTCTGACCAATGAGATATATACTAAGCATTTCTGGGAAAACTAAAACTCATCCTTACCTACTTTGCCAATTTCCTCTTTCTTGCCTGATATGTGGATGTGGGGTCCTAGACTGTGCAGCTATCTTTCCCCCTTTGTAATATGCAAGTCTATTGGCACACATATATAGCTTTCTGAAGATAGGCTTCTGGTGATCTATGCTGATCTGAAGATTAAAATCTGGTTACTTGGTTAACATATAGTAATTCTCAACTGGAGAGGAAACCACCTACTGACCAGGCAAGATTGGGAATGAGTGGGAATAACTTGATTGTCACAGTGATTAGGATATACTATTATTATTATTACACAGGCAGACAGTAAAACACAGCATTGTCGAACCCAGATGGGAACAGTGCTCCTGATAAAAGATGACAGATTCTTTGGCCACTTTTCTTCTGCCAACCTACCTGTGAAGTTCCCAGATGTGAGCCAAGGACGTCACTGATCCCCTCTAGCATCTTTCCTCTACAACACTCTCCACTTCTTGGTTCAAATAACTGCTCTCCCCTTGGTCCCTTTGAGTCTGGAGGACACAACAACTTTGACTTTGCCTGCTCCAGATTATTGCTCTGTCCTTTCAGGCTTCACCCTATCCCAGTGGGCCTGTGTACACAGTGCATTTATAAATCAACGTGCTACCATTTTTCTTGGGATCCTGACCATTACAGCTCTCTTTTCCACATTTTATTTGTCTCAAATTTTGTCTACTTTCCTAGGGAATTTGTAATTCTAGATTTAGTTCTCTAAGTTACAGGAGGCTGTTGAATACAGGTATCTTTTATTCCCCTCCCTTCTTTTCTGATACTAGCCTTTCAGGGGACAAACTTGCCATTTACTTTTGTAATTTAAGCAACTTGAGTAATCTTGTCTTGGCAGAGTCGCTCTTCCCTTCTGCAAGAAGATGGCTCCAATAGTACCCAAGAGAAAGAGATTCAGTTTCCTTTTTAGCAGCTTATTAAAATATATATCCTGAAGAAATTCCTACATAAATACACAATCAAGATCCTAACATTCTGTAGTAGAAAGCACAGTAGAGTCAGTTTGAACCTTAAAAAAAGGCAAAGTCAGGTGTTTTGTTTTTTTTTTCCCCTAGTCAACCATGTCAGTCTTAAAAAAATGTCAGCATAGATGGAATTGAATATAAGAAGGAATAAAGCTTTTCTTTTCTTTGATGACTCAAGATCAGCAGAAACCCAGAGTTCCTATTTTGAACACTTTACAAACCCAACTATAAATGGAGACAGTGACTGAGCAACTGGCTAATGACAAGCATACACTCTGCTGCAGCTGTAAGGAAGCCTGCCCCCAGAGCAGATCCTTCAAAAGTCACAGATTTGAAAATGAAAGCCAATCACATTGATAAAATAAGCAAAAAAGACTTAATGTAGACCTAACTCTTTAGAAGCAACTTTTTCCAACAAATTTCTCTTTCTCCGTGTGAATACACACACACACACACACACACACACACACACACACACACACAAATTTAAACTTCCCTAACATCTTTGATGGCATGCATCAGGGCACAGATTCAGTAGTCGTGGCTTTCTTCTAGGAAATACCTGGCCAGTAGAGCTCTCTTTGGGAGATGAGAAGGTTTCTCAAAACTTTATTATGAATTCCGCTGTGTATGTGCCGGCATGTTTCTGAGTACTTCCTATATCATAACTCTGTTAGTGAAAATAGCACATTTAGCTATATTTTTTTTCCTTTGCAATTTCACATTCTTTACCTCATTGGAGGTGGAAGGGGTAAAGAACAGGAATCATTTTAAAGCATATTTATTTATGTTCTTTATAGTTAAAGAAAGCTATGGCAACATTTTCCTGGCCCACATATTCAATTAAATACATAGTGAATCTTTTCTACTCACTGAATTAGTTGGCACTTCCGAGTATTTATTTTTGGCGTATCATTTCTTTTTTGTTTTGCAGAAATTCTTAAAGTTTTATCATGATTTAACATTTTTATTTTGAAAATCAAGCACATTTTATAATTATTATATATACATATATATATATATATTTTTTTTTTTTTTCCCCTGAGACTTGAATCTCTGTAACAGTCTTCTCATGTGGTTATTTTTCCATTAATTATTCTCTCAAGATCTTTGGCAAGAAAAGCTCTGTGAGGTTAATGGGAGAATGGTAACATCCTAGGATGAACAGTGAATGCATGTCTCCCTGTCCTTCAGGAGTTTCTAGTCTGGTAGAGGGGCGAATACAGAATCAGCTGCTGTTGAATGGATGTTCTCATTACCAGGAAGAATTGGCTGTGGCCATAAGACAACAACAGACAAGTGATGTTGAGAACGTCTCTCGTGCTCACCCTGTGGCGCAGGTCCTTAACTTGCTTTATGGCCAAGTCAGAATAATGTCTTATTCCTCAGTCTCTTTTGGCCCTGCTCACTCATTCCCTGAACACATCTGTACACACACACACACACACACTCCCCTCCCCTAATCTACTACTTTGTCTTCTCTGGAACCCCTGCTTACTTCTTACAGCCTGTACTTTACTCCAGTCTTGTTTTGTTTTCCCTACTATTCATCCTCATCACCATGTCCCTGAGCTATTTATTGCCATCAACTCACTCCACTTCTTTCTCACTTTCCTTCCTCAATAATGCCAGTCATCTAACATGACCATATGAGCCTGATCCCAATTTGCAAATGACTCTGCCTTGTGTTGAACTCTTTTTATTACTCTACACTGTGGTTTTTTTAAAAATATATTTTACAAAGACTTTCCAGTCTAGTCCCTGCCTCCCTGTCCAGCCACCTCCTTCTTTCCACCATCACTCACATCACACTCCAGCAATTTTAGACTGATGCAGAGACTGGAATAGATCACACAGTTATGTCTGTACTCATATCTGTCAGCCAGGTCCTCCTTCTATAGTCTCTGATCTGTTCTATCCAACTCTCTACCACGTTGCTCCCCTGCTGCTCAAACATAGCCATCTGGGCAGTTGCTTACTTATTCTGCAAGTCTCAGATCAAATGGTGCATCTTCTGTAATGTCATTCCTGACTCCCTTGTAAGTATTTTGAGGTTTTTTTTTTCTATGGTCCTTCAGTTATATACCCCATGAACTTTGTACATAACCTCATTAAAATGGTTATGTTA